TTTAATCCGAGGGGGGGATAAAACATTATAGGTTATACTCATGGAGTAGAGGAAGAAACAGTGAGCATGCTGAATTGTTTTGAATTTCAAACCATGTATATAATGTAAAATCACGTATTTTCGTGGGGTCAAATTTTTGAGGTTGAGGAAAAAGTATTGGTTTGTGGGGATTTGAATTCGTGGTTGGAGAGTGTGTGGTAGTAACGCATATGAATTTTTACATTTCATGGTGGTCATAAATTTGGGGGGTTCTCCATACCTCGAAAGCAACGAAAATTAACCCCCAACGAAAATTAGAGATTTCACAGTATAGGAATTCAAGATTTATTTTAACAATTCCAGGTTTTTTTAATTTTTGTGAAGCCCCAGGCCATGTTTTGAGTACCTAATATAAAACAGTCACTTTTTCTTTTTCCTGTTCGATTTATAAGTAAAATATTCAATCCATTTTAATAGCCTAGCTATTATAATGTCAGGTTTCTGTATACTTTTAGGGAGATGCTTTTGATTCATGACATCAATATGCAGTAAATCATTTAAAAGTGTCAATCGCTTTCTCAAAACAACGCAGTCAACCATTCAATATAAAAAAATCAAATTTAATGATCCAGAAACAGTAAGTTGCAATATTTTTTTTCTTTAATGCCCATTAAAGTATCCTTTAATTAAACCATTTAAGGAGAAAAGAAAGAGTTTTCCGGTTAACACCAGTAGAAAAATATTTTATCTGTTTGATTTATTTAGTGTAAGTACAGTTATATTAGATGCATGGCAACAAAGGGCACATAATGTAGGTCACACGACATTTGTGCAATTACTTTTCTGAAAATTTTTGCTTTAGAGTGTCATGCACATAAAGATTTATGCAGTTTACAGTTTGTAATTTTAATATTTTAGGTATTATTCATTTATTGCCATAAAAATTGATTTACATCATAGATCATAATTAAAGGATTCAGTCTTGAAAGTAATTTGTACAATTAATTATAAAAAATCATTAAAACTTTAATTACTATGACACAATGCAATATTTATGTTCATGATTCTGACAATGACACAATACAATATTAATGTTCATGATGCTGACAATGACTCAATGCAATATTGATGTTCATAATACTGTCAATGACACAATACAATATTTATGTTCATGATGCTGACAATGACACAATGCAATACTTTGTTCAGGAGCCAACTTGTTTTCTAATTGAGAAATTCTCACAGGTATTTTGATACATGTATAAATTTTGAGTTCTTAAGGTATGTCACTCATGAAATTTGTTAAATCAAGGATTTTTTGAGAAGTGTATTTTGGATAAGTACTCGTATAGTTTGACTCAAAATCGCAGAGAAAATAGGGGGTCAGTGTTCATCTTACTGAGCTAGGGTACAATGAAGATGATCTTTCTGCACTTAAATTTCAAGTCTTTGGTTAATTACTTTAACCGTTATCATATTTTATCAGATGTAACCATGGCAATAAATATGATTTTATTTAACGTAATATATTTTGAATAATATTTATCACTGAACAAATCTTGCAAATAAATGATGTAAATTATTGTGTGACCTTTTTGCACTAAAAAGTAATATATTGGGGGTATTAAAAAAATAAATAGGCAATTAAACATTTTCTTAAATCAAGCTTTTTACGACTTAAGTGCTGATCAATCACAAGTATCGAGAATTTTAAAATAATGAAAGAAAAAGTTGGGGTCAGTGATTTTAATTTTGAAATATTGGTCAAAATATGTGATTTTCATGCGAAAAATAGTGTAAATTTTATCTTGACTTATTTGACATATCTTCATTTTTTGGCAAAGTCTGTTGAAGGAAGGTGTAAAACGTGTTCTAAAAATATAAATTTAGACCCATATTAAATATTCCTAGCAACATCATAATAAAAATATTCTCTGAGTAAAAGAATGTGAGGCTAAAGTTCCAAGATATGAAATTCAATATTGAATGTGCAGATTTGCAGAATTTTCTACTAAATATCTTTCCACCATAAGAAATAGTCCCTCGTAAATCTTGCTTCTTTGTACTTTTTGAGCAGTTTTTTGATGAATGTTTAAACATTAACATTGTTGAAATTAAAATATGTTATAAAAATTGAATTTTAATAAATAGTTTTGAAGTAAGAGGTTCTGCGTGAACTTTACTAAAAAGCTGAGGAGTGACATACCTTAATTAATACATAAAATAATTAAAAATATTGATAATATTTAGTAATTAAAACCAAATTCTTATACCAGTAGTTTGATGTAGTAAGGTACGCATACTTTCAAGCAATTTCTTGAAGAATTCAGAAGCATTATGAACTTCTGGCTATATCGTTTGAAAATCTTTTGATAAAGAACCACTTGACCAAAAATATTCAATCAAAGTTTATTATGTGAAACCTGTTTTGCATAGATTAGAGCAGATTTAAATTTATTCAAATATTGGCCCCAAGGGGTAGGGTAGGGTAGGGCCACAATGGGGGATTAACATTTAACCTGTTAGGAATATATAGGGAAAATCTTCTTCTCAAGAACAATAAAGCAAGCCAATTTCGTCAAGCATCGATCCTAGCATATTGTAGATTCTAATTTTTTCAAATCATCTCCCTTGGTATAGGGTGTGACCACTGTGGGGGATCAAAGTTTTGCATAAGAATAGGGGGGAAAAAACTCTTCAAAAATCTTTTCTTCAAAAACATACACCAAAGCCTTGATTCATAAGATTTTAATAATCTCAGATGAAGTAAATTCAAGTTTGTTTAAATGATGACTCTCAGGGTATTTTTGAGTTACAATTAGAGTTGAACAGATTGATTTATACTGTAGGGAAAAAAATTTTAAAATCCCTTTAAAATCATCAAAGCCATATTTAATCATATTTATATGGAAGTATTTTAAGGTATTGTAGATTGAAGTTTGTTCAAAACTTGATCCTGATTGGTGGGGTTGCATCTATGAAATTCATTACACCTCAGGGTAGATTTGGGTCACAACAGAGACCAAACTTTAAATAGAAATATATAGACCAGGGATTAAAATATAAAATTTGCTGATGAAGAACGACAGGGCCATATTGACTCAGGTGAACTTTGTAGCCCATGGACCTCAGGCTAATTTTACTTTCTACCAAGTATTTAATTAATTAAATGTATTTTGGTTTTATAAACCAAACCTGTCTCTATTTTATCTGCACAATGGACTGACAATATTTTTGTTACATTTATTCATTAGCCTCCTTACATATATAATTAATGGGCCTCAGTCCTACAGACGGACAGGTGGAACATGTGTAAAATCCTGCAAGAAACAGGATGTATTAAAGATGACTTGTCACAGAAAGTAGACAGTCATGCAGTGTCGAGAATAGACTGTTTTTGTTTTTACTATGTAAGGATATTGTAGCTTTTCCTAGAAAATATGGACACTTGAACTTTCTCTTTTTCTTGTTTATGCATTTTCAATAGTTTTTAACTAGCGGGTGGTTATGTAGGAATTTTTTTTGAAGTATTACTTCCTGCAGCATATTATTGATAAACAAAGTTCTTTTGAACCTCTTTGTTCTATTAAAATAGACATGGAAGCTGATTCAGGCATCAGATGTCATTACACAGAAAAATATCTAAATGGGTTTTTAAAGTATTGATGTTATTTAAAGAAGCAGTTGTATAAAAGACATGCTTTTTTAAAAAATATGTTTTTTAGTTTTTATGGTGTATCTATTTGAAAGCATTGCATTGAAAATTTTATGAAATTCAAGTACATGTATTAATTTCTTTCACATGGTATATTAAACTTGTTTTTTTTTTAAGTATCTCTTGTTTTCAGGAAAGCGAGGAACATTAAATTTAGCTTGTCTGTCATACTGTCCATCTGTTTGTCTGTATGTCACAGAAACTTTAACCTCAAATGGTCATAACTTTTGAGTGAGAAAAAACGAGGCTTTCAAATTTCATATGTGCATTACCTGTGACAAGATCGTGCACCTTTTCAAATATATTTTGTTTTTTCGCCTTGCATGACCTTGGAGTTTGATTTTTTTTTTAAATTAACATTCATTTGGTGATAATTTTTGAAAGAGAAAAGATAGGGTGTCCATATTTCATACATGCATTACCTGTTTGCATTCAGATTTCGTTTACCATTGAAATATATAGGAATTATCTTTTTTCTTAAAGCCACTAAGCAAGAAAAGCTGAAACTTTTGCGGAAGCATCATGGGGTAGTTTGATTTCTAAATTGTTCAGATTATGATCCCCTATGGAAGGTTGGGGGCACAATAGGTATTACAGTGGGAATAAGGGGGAAAAGAGCAGCAGGGCCAAAGTTACTCATGTGAGCATTGCGGCCCATGGGCCTCATGTTTTTTAAACTTGACGTATAAGATGAAGATACACATCAGTGGTGTTTCCTGTTACATCTTATCACAAAATTTCTAAACTTCTTCTCCATTTTATTTATTTTTAAAGATGTGTTTGATGATTGATAAAAAATTTAGGTCATATTTCCAACTGAATGAACCTGAAGGAAACGTACTTTTTTGTATTTTTCAATTGTTTTTAAGAGTTTTTGCCCCCAGGCCTCTATAAAAAGGACATCAATGTTTTGTACTGAATGACAACAGTGATCTATTTATGACAATAATTGAACTCTGTTCACAGGAGGAAGCTTATTTCGTTGTTGTTCTTTGTTTGTTTGTTTTTTTTTTGTTTTTTTTTTCCAAAAATGCATCTGCAACAATTTTTCTAGTCTCGGATGGAAATAAAAAAAAATGAAAAAATAAAAACTCAAAGACATGAAAATTTTCTGAGATGTATTTCAGAAAGATTATTTCACTGCTTCATTGTTTTATAATATATTTGATTACAAATTTCAATTCATCTTAGTTTAGCAATTTGTACAGCGCTTCAGTCAGTTTTGTTGGAACTTGATTTTCTAATCACAATAAAGTATTTTTCCACAGTTTCGTCATTCATTGTGACTGATATTTTATATTTTCAGAGTCAAGGAATGTCAATTTGGGCAAAGACCCAGTTGTTGCCCCAAGAACTCCTCAAACATGTGTCCAGTTTGTACGAGAGTTCCCAGATCCCCATAGAGGTGCGGCATTATTTTGCCGACTGGATAGAGGAACAGCCATGGTAAAACAAATCATTTTGTATCAGTCAAATATGAGGTTTAATTTGTAAAACGATCAATGTTTAAATGAAAATTTTAAAAATTCTGAAATAACTCCCATTCTTGATTTTTTACACTTTTTTTTATTAGTTTAACATTTTTCTGGATAAGTGATAGTTATGATCAGTGGAAGTTGACTTGTTTTTTTGTTTTAATTTGCATCATCAATCATACTTTTAAATCAGCTGTCATAAACAAACTGCTTTGAAGAGAAATGTTGCCTTAGATTATATTAATGTACAGTGTGATGAAGAAAGATTAAAAAAACAAATTTCAAGTGGTTATTCCCTGAGGTCATTTCCTCCCTTATGAGATAACATCTCTGTTCAGTCAGTTCTTTATTTTTAGGGGACAGATTGATGAGAGTAACCCTACAGATCGGGATCAGCAGTTTGCCGAGCAGCTTCTGAACAATCTCATCGGAGAGATAGAGACCAAGTCCGCAGAACTCCCACAGCAGAATGAGTACTTCTTACTCAAGCTCAAGTTTCAGGAAGTGGCCAATCAGTTCAGGGTAGGTTAGATATCTGGTTGTTAGATAAAGCAGAGCAGGACATGTGGTTAGATATCTGGTTGTTAGATAAAGTGGAGCATGACAGATATCTGGTTGTTCGATAAAGTGGAGCATGGCATGTGCTAAGATATCTGGTTGTTAGATAAAGGGGAGCATCACAGATATCTGGTTAGATAAAGCGGAGCATGACATGTGGTTAGATATCTGGTTGTTAGATAAAGTGAAGCATGACATGTGGTTAGATATCTGGTTGTTAGATAAAGCAGAGCATGACATGTGGTCAGATATCTGGTTGTTAGATAAAGTGGAGGATGACATGTGGTCAGATATCTGGTTGTTAGATAAAGTAGAGCTAACCAGGCATTTTTGGCTCACCTAAATCAAGTACCTTCAAACATGCTTATAATGAAGGGCCAGGGATGGACAATTTTGCTTTGTTGTAACAGTAATGTGAAATAACTGTTAAGTTTAACAAAATATTTCAAAGTCATGGGGGATGCTAATCACTTCACCATAAGCCTCAATTTATTGTAAGCGTGTTTGCTCTACACATGTTTTACTGAACCCAGAGGGATTTTTACTGGTTGAAATTTTTCTGTTGTCTTTAGTAGTTGTAAAATTTTCAGTGAGGAGTAGATGATCCTTATGGATTCTAAAATCAAAGGTCAAGGATCAAACTTGACATAGGAAGAAATTGTCATCTCAATATTTTGAGATCTCTTAGCTTAACAGACATAAAACTTGGTGTGCTGGTTACCCCTAGGAAGCATTATTTTGCCCCCTGACTGGTAGATGATCAATTTTTTTCAGTATCATTTCAACAGTATTTATTGTTCCCTTCAAACATTGCCACATTTGGTCATATTTGTCTAGCAAACATGTCTTGGATTTTTTTTTTTAAATAAAAAAAGATGAGCTGTATGTTCTATTTTTGGTATTAAGCTTGGCTTAGTGATATGTTCCTGTTTTGAGGTTTGACTCTATCTCTGTTTTGTTTTTCCTGACGTTGTTATTTCTGTCTTGTTTACAGTCAGTCTACTCCCAGAATCCTTTGGAACTCGTACGTACAATCAAGAGGAACCTGGCAACAGAGGAGGCATTGGTCCGACAACATGAAAATGTAAGATCTCCCATACAAAATCAAGTATATCTCTAATACTTTATACAGGTTTATCTGACAACATGAAACTGTAAGATTTCTGATACAAAATCAAGTAAATCTCTAAATTGATGTATCACATAGAAAATGTCATGAGGAATTTTATAAACTGAAATAAAAGAAAAAACTTTAATATTAACTCTGAAATCTAAATTAGCAGTTTATAAAATTTGATTTTTTTTTTATTTTTCAGCCTGATGCGGTGAGTTAACTTTCTTAAATTTTTTAAAGGCTTACAATATCCCTTTTAAAATGTTTACTGCATCTATAAACCTGCACAAAAATTGTTTACAACAAAACTACAGAATTGATCATTAAAGCCATTTTGGGACCAATTTATTAGATATGTTTAGTGATCAAACTAAAATTAACTCAGTGAAAACATTAATAAATATTAATAAATAATGATTGCGGAATAAGAACAGCGGTTTTATATACAAGTTATTGACTGATCAGCGAATCAATGAGGAAACTAATCGTTAGACACGGGTTCTATAATCCTGCAAGGTGCCATATATTGGCTGATCATTTTACAGGCAAATACACATGTATGACATCAATTTTAAATTTTAAAATTGTTCACTATTTTAGATAATGATTCACTGGTATGAGAACCTCATTTGAGTTGGCCTTTACTAAGCTATTAGTGTTTGTAAAGAATGTAATCTTTGAAGTAAAATCAAATTATTTACTCCTGGTTTGTACAATCAACTCTGAGAAAAGCATAACAAGCCTAATTAAAGGCTACATCAAAGTACATATACAGTAAAACTTGTCTAATCAGTACACCACTGGTTCGAAAGAAATTGTAATGGATTAGACAAAATTCCAGATTAGACAAAATTTTAACAAAAGAATTTAAAGTTGACATTGTATTAAGCAAGATTTTGGATTGTGCAAGATCTGCATCAGACAGGTTTCACTGTAATTCTATAGATGGTTTGGCAGCTTTGAAGCTAGCAGATAAAAATTTTAATAAGGATAATAAAACATGAGTTCATTCAATATTGACAAAAGTTTTTCCATGCCATGATCAAATTCCAATAAAAAATTATTTAATTATCATAATTTATTTATTTACATGGGTATATGTGAAAGAAATGCAATTACTATCTGCTTGTTTCTTCTATTAGCCAACCACTGTTCCCATGCCTGGCTTTGACAAAGACAAGCTCATCATGTCTAAGATTGAAGGTGTCGGAGTACAAGTGTCTGTAAGTGTGTCATTTCAACAAGTCACAGACATTTCCAAGAAATTGACATAAACTAGATCAGGTGTACTCTTGCTTTTATCTTATCAGATTTATTGATTTGTTAAATAGCTGCATAAATTTTAGAATTTCTTCAGTTTATCAAATATGTAAGATAAATGTGATTGATATGAAGAGGAAAATCTAATCAAATCAGCCCCTGAGTGACATAATGAGAGAATATTGTGACACTGCCTGGTACATTAGTTAAATGTGAAAATGGGACTGAGATCACAGAAAAAGCCCTGTTTTGAATCAGATTTACACTAAACGACAACAAGGCGGAAATAACACAACCCTTTGATTCAACATTACAGTCTAGCTGTCTGTTAGATTTACTCCTCAGATAGAAGTTATGACCAAAAATGACCTTTAGAGAAAATGTTTAGCATTATTAACATACTAGTAATCAAATATCATTAACATCAACAAGGGCAAAAATAATTTTATAACAAATATAATTTTATACATTAAATGTAATATTTAGAATGGGTGTAATATCAAGGCCAAATGTACTAGTGGAGAACAATTTTTTGATATTGCAAATAATATGAACCATCTGGTTTGCATTTTTTGAACATGCAGATTCACTTACTTAATTGGCATACAGAAATGAACCCCTTGTGTAAAATAAAGACTAGATCCTGCCTCTGTAATATTTCTAACGCTTTTATATATTGACCTTGTGGGGAATTATTAACCCCCTCTAATGTTGAGGGATTTGAAGGAATCAGGTCATCATGACTGTGAAATATTGACTCGATTCCCTCTAGTTTAATGCTTATGGGGAGGGAGTTAAAATGTTATGGCTGGTACCTATCATTCTGGCTTTTTCTTTAAAGAGGGGGGTCAAGATATTTTGGTTTGGGAACTATTGACTCAAACCCAATCTCCACCTCACTGAAATTCATTTTTGGGGGAGGTGGTTCAAGATATTATATATGTACAGAGTTTGATTTTTTAGAACCTTGGTACACTGCAGCTATATTTTTTGGATGTTTTAGGAGTCAGAGAGAATGGTCAAAGAACTTACAGATAAACAAGAAGTGTTTACAATTAACTACCAGAAACAACTTCAGATCAACAGTAAGTCAAAAGACTGGCATAAAAATTTAAAAGGATTTGTGTCCTCCCTTATAAAGGAGAATTTTTAGCTCACCTCAACGAAGTTTGGCGTCGGCGTCCCATGTTAAGGTTAAGTTTTTTGGAGCAGTTTTCTTTTTAAGTACTTCTATGTCCTATATTGATTAGACATGCATGGAAGATGTTACTAGGTTTCTAGTGTGTTTCATTGTACCAGTCAAAGTTTCAGATGCTGCAATTTCAGCGAAGGAATGACCAGGTTAATGTTTTTGGAGCAGGTTAACATTTTTGGTGCAGTTTTTGGTGTAGGTCTCATTTCCAAGTAACCATAAGCCCTATAATGACCAAACTTGCATGGATGATACATCTAAGGATGCACACTACCAGGCTTGCTTCGGATGCTGAATCTGACCTACTTATTCTGGTTGAGTGAACAGATTAAAGTTTTTGGTGCAGTTTTCATTTCCAAGTTACTATGAGTCCTATAATGACCAAACTTGCATGGATGATGCATCTAAGGATGCATACTATCAGACTTGCTCTGGATGCTGAATTTGACCTACATTTTCCGGTTGACTGAACAGGTTAAAGTTTTTGGTGCAGTTTTCATCTTCAAGTTACTATGAACCCTATAATGACCAAATTTGCATGGATGATACATCTTAGGATGCATACTATCAGACTTGCTTCGGATGCTGAATCTGACCTACATTTTCTGGATGAGTGAACAGGTTAAGGTTTTTGGTGCAGGATTCATTTCAAAGTTACTATGAGCCCTATAATGACTAAACTTGCATGGATGATACATCTTAGGATGCATACTATCGGACTTGCTTCGGATGCTGAATCTGACCTACATTTTCCGGATGAGTGAACAGGTTAAGGTTTTTGGTGCAGGATTCATTTCAAAGTTACTATGAGCCCTATAATGACTAAACTTGCATGGATGATACATCTTAGGATGCATACTACAATACTTGCTTCGGATGCTGAATCTGACCTACATTTTCTGGTTGAGTGAACAGGTTAAAGTTTTTGGTCTGGGATTCATTTCCAAGGAACTTTGAGCTCTTTTATAACCCAACTTGCATGGATTATACATCTAAGGGTGCATTCTATCGGGCTGGCTTCGGATGCTGAATCTGACCTACATTTTCTGGATTAGTGAAAATGTTAATTTTTTATACAGGTTTCATTTCCAAGTAACTATAAGCCCTATGTTGAGCAAACTTGCATGGATGATACATCTTAGGATGCACACTAATGGATTTGCTTAAGATGCTGGATCTGACATACATTTTCCTGATAATACACCAGGTAAAAGTCATGGGTGCATGTCTATCACTAAGAAAGTTTAAGGCCTATATCAACCAGACTTGCACAAATGATGCATCAAGGGATGAAAACTCCCAGACTTTTTTCAGATGCTGGATTTTAATTATGTTTTCATGATGAAGAACTAGTTTGGAGTTTTTATATAGGTCTATTCCAAAGTATCAGATCAAATTTGCATAAATTTTGCATTTTTGGATGTTCACTTTTTGTTGGTTAATTGTGTGACTTTGCCTTACTTTAATAAAGACAACATTCGTTGAGGTGAACTCTGTAATCTCTGATTACCTATGTTTTTTATTGGAAATATATTATAATATCAAAAAATTGTTTTTTTTCTTTAAGGTCGATTAAATCAGACCTGTTCGGAGAAATACTTAGCCACCCTGTCACCAGAGGAAATCCAGCGAGTGACAGAGATGAGAAAAAACTTGGAGAAGCAGAAGAAGGACTTTGAGTCGGTATTAGCGAAGGGAGCTCAGACACTTATCAATGCCAGGGTGGTACGTACATAGGAAGTCAAAATATTCAGTGTAATCTAAAGCGAATTTTGCAAAAAAAATTCTTATAAGACATTAACAGTACAAAACACTATCAAACTACATGTACATGATTTAAAAATCTTAATTCTACAAAGCTTTATGTGTTTCTTTTCCATAATGTTAAGCACAGGGTCAGAATTATTTCTTCTTAGAGTAGAAGAGATATTGTTTTCAAATTAGTTACCGTATATACTCGCCTATAAGTCGGTCCTTCTATAAATTGGTTGCATTTTTCAAGGTTATATTAAAGGGATTTAGTATGTTTTATTTTCTTTAATACCATTCTTTTTATAACTCGTCTATAAGTCAGACAGAGAGTTTTGGACCAAAGTTTAACTCCCAAAAATCTGACGTAAAGGTGAGTATATACGGTATATGCCAGTTTATGACATTATGTATCTATAGGAAATAGCTTAGCAGTTGAATAAGAATTTTGTATCAGTATATGTTAATGTGACTATGGGAAATTTTGGAGAAGTTGTAAGGGTTTTGTATCTGAGAGTATTTGTATAAGTATCTGTTTATAGGAAATAGCAGAGAAGTTGAGTAAGAATTTTGAGGCTCTTGAGGAAGTGAGACATCAAGTTGTTGATCAGGAGTTGATAGAATGGAAACGTCAACAGCAGCTGGCAGGAAATGGAGCCCCATTCGATCCACAGTTACTGGATAACTTACAGAAATGGTAACGTACAACTCTCATTGATTTCATCAGTAAATGCTGTGCTTAAACAAAATCATTACAATGGATTATGACTGGTATTATTCTAATTGTTATGGTCGAGTTACCACTGTCTGGTAAAAGGATCCACTGATTAGAAAGAGATTTTTAAAAATCTGTTATTAATATGATTGTTAGGATTTTGTCAGCATTGTTAGGGTGTGGTTTCCATTGTTTTGATAGAAATTATAACTGTTATTTTGACTGCTGTTTAGATTGAGTCAGCACTGCTAGGGTGGAATATCCACTGATTGGAAAGACATCGTACATCTTTGTACATTTTGACTGTTGACATTATGATTGTTAAAAGTAACCACTACATTAAAGGTGGATTTTTCCACAATTGCTAGAGTGTTCATCATCGCAAAGCACAGGTTTTGAGTCTGCAAGCTTCCTCCACATGGGTTACCAATGATGGGGTTGATTATAACTGATGATGATTATGACTGGTTGATTATAACTGATGATGATTATGATTGGTTGATTATAACTGATGATGATTATGATTGGTTGATTGTAACTGATCATGATTATGATTGGATAATCATAACTGATGATTACAACTGATGATGATTAATATTGGTGGATTATAACTCATGTTGATAATGATTGGTTGATTATAACTCATGTTGATTATCACTGTAAGGGTTGAGTCCACGGTGGATCTGGTGTGGAGGAGCAGACAGCAGGTGATTAAACTAGAAGGACTCTGTAGCAGTATTCCACTCCAGCTGCCCAACGGGAAAGACGACGAGGTGTCAGTTCTTAACAACAAAATTACCAGCATACTGTCTTCCATTGTGACAAGGTATATCAAAATCAAAATTCAACATCAAACTGGTGTGAATGTAATGTCTAAAACTCTCTTTCTGCTAAGTAAAAAACAAACATCTTTCCCTTTGAATATCATTTGGTGGTATGATAGTATTCTCAGAAGCACATAAATATTTTTATACTATGATTTCAGCACATTTATTGTTGAGCACCAGCCTCCTCAAGTTTTAAAGAGAGATTCCAGATTTAGTGCTCGGGTCCGTCTTCTAGTGGGTGGCAAACTGACCATTCACCTGACCCCTCCGACCGTCACCGCCTCCATTATCAGGTGAGCTAAATTCTCAATGACACTTCTGATCTGATAACTTGATATCTGTATAATTATATGCTGTATCATAAAAATAATTAGATATTTCTGGAAATTTAAGACTGTTTGAGATTTTGCTTATCAATAAGAAAATGATATATAGTAAAATATTTGAAGCATTTTATAATTATTGTAGTGTACATTTCATTCTTTTTAAAAATAGCTCTATTGCACATTATTGATGTGTTCTGGAAATGTCCTTTGTAGCTGCTTAGGTCACTGTAATTCATATCTACTTCTTGTTTTTATTACAGTGAGGCCCAAGCCAAGCTTTTGTTGAGGGGCCCCAACAGACGACCTGACAATAACTGTGGGAAGATCCTTAACAACTCAGGCACGATGGAATTCCAACCTCAGAAAGGGGAACTCAGTATCGAGTTCAGGAATATGGTAGGACTACTACATTCTTCTAACTGAAAGAAATTTTTTTATTGTATTTAAATTTCATAAAATCTTTTCAGAAAATGTCTTTAAAATTTTTAAAATCACTCATTTAAAAAATTTGATATTTACACTTTCATGCAACTGTCCAACCTATGAAACTAAAGTCTGGATGTTTATATTTTTTCTAGACAGGAAGTGCTTAGATATTTGATATGTTTTTTAATATAGATAAATTTTTTTAATGATTTGTCAGTTGACACAGTTACAGACTGGTCTGTTCAATGGTACAGTTGTACTGATTGGTTTGTTCAAAACAGTTTTACTGATTGGTCTGTTCAATACATTTTACTGATTGGTCTGTTTTGCTGCTTACAGATTCTGAAGTCAATTAAAAGAGCAGAGAAGAGAGGGACAGAGGTAAGAGAACTTTTTTTCTCCTTAACATCTGATTTAACAGCTGATGATCCAGGTTAATACAACTCAGGGAATACTGTAAATGTCTTAATTTTGGCAAATGTGGTAGGGGGTGGGTGATTTATGTCTACATGTATATGCTGTTCAGCTCACAGAATCTTTGAATTTTCTTTTTCTCCATATGCTTATTATGTTTCTGAAAATTTGTATCCCAACTTAAATCTATTGAACACATGCATTGGGTTTTTAATTCAATCAGAATACAAGCTAAAAGGTATCTTTAAATTTAAAATGCATGGATTGCATTAAAATGGGAATAACTAATCATCTAATTTGGTATTTGCGACCATTAATGTGATTTAACGTTTATGCGTCACCGGTAAAACTCAGTTTGCGCCCTAATTTTATTGATTTAATTTCTAGGCCGTCACAGAGGAGAAGTTCTGTATTTTGTTCCAGAGTTCCTTCCATTTAGGGATGACAGTAAATGAACTACAGTTTGAGGTTTGGGTGAGTGTTCATCGAGTCTCTCATTATACCAACTAGTTGCGTGAGGTAAAATGTTTTTGACCAGTCCGTCAGAGTGTCAGTCAGTCAGTCAGTCAGTCCTCATTTTTTGTCAGCGCAACTCCTCATAAACCGCTGCACAGAATTTCGTCAAACTTTGCAGGTATTTAGGACACAATGTGTAGATATGCATATTACCAGGAAATTTCGATTTCATTATTTTTTCCGGGAATTTCCGCACTTTTTAACTTAGGCATTTGGCCATACCTTGAATATAGAGATGAACAGTTTGTCAGCGCAACTCCTCATAAACCGCTGCACAGAATTTCGTCAAACTTTGCAGATATTTAGGACACAATGTGTAGATGTCCATATTACCAGGAAATTCCAATTCCTTTATTTTTTCCGGGAATTTCTGCACTAAAAAATTAGGTTTTTGGCCATACCTTTTATACAGTTTGTCAGCACAACTCCTCATAAACCGCTGCACAGAATTTCATTAAACTTTGCAGATATTTAGGACACAATGTGTAGATGTGCATATTACCAGGAAATTCCGAATCCTTTATTTTTTCCGGGAATTTCCGCACTAAAAACTTAGGTTTTTGGCCATACCTTTTATATAGAGATGAACAGTTTGTCAGCGCAACTCCTCATAAACTGCTGCACAGAATTTTGTCAAACTTTTCAGATATTTAGGACACAATGTGTAGATGTGCATATTACCGGGAAATTCCGATTCCTTTATTTTTTCTTAGAATTTCCACACTTTTCAACTTAGATATTTGGCCATACCTTGAATATAGAGATGAACATTTTGTCAGCGCAACTCCTCATAAACCGCTGCACAGAATTTCGTCAAACTTTGCAGATATTTAGGACACAATTTGCAGATGTGCATATTACGGGAAAATTCCGAATGCTTTATTTTTTCCCGGGATTTTCAGCACTTTGAGTTTTGGGGGAGCGTGGGGTAAGTGAGCTTGCTCACTTTTTAGCTCACCTGAGCCGAAGGCTCAAGTGAGCTTTTCTGATCACATTTTGTCCGGCGTCCGTCTCTCCGTCTGTCCATCTGTCTGTCTGTAAACTTTTCACATTTTCGACTTCTTCTCAAGAACCACTCGGCCAATTTCAACCAAACTTGCCACAAAGCATCCTTGGGTGAAGGGGATTCAAATGAAGGGCCACGTCAAGGGGAGATAATCATGAATTTGCATGGAATTTTTAAAAAATCTTCTTCTCCAGAACCGCTGGGCCAGGAAAGATGAAACTCATGTGGAATCATGTTCAGGTAGTGTAGATTGTTTGCCATACAAGTTTTACATAGGATATATAGGAAAAATGAATCTTCTTCTCCAGAACCACTGGGCCAGGAAAGATGAAACTTGTGGAATCATCTTCAGGTAGTGTAGATTCAAATTTGTTCAAATCATGACCCCCGGGGCAAGGGTGGGGCCAAAATGGCTGACACAAGTTTTACATAGGAATATATAGGAAAAATCTTTAAAAATCTTCTTCTTGGGCCAGGAAAGATGAAACTCATGTGGAATCATGTTCAGGTAGTGTAGATTCAAGTTTGTTCAAATCATGACCCCCGGGGCAAGGGTGGGGACACATAGGAATATATAGGAAAAATCTTTAAAAATCTTCTTCTCCAGAACCACTGTCATGTGGAATCATCTTCAGGTAGTGTAGATTCAAATTTGTTCAAATCATGACCCCCGGGGCAAGGGCACTTTAAAAATCTTCTTCTCCAGCACCACTGGGCCCGAAAGATGAAAATGTGGAAGCATCCGATTCAAGTTTGTTCTACATAGGAATATATAGGAAAAATCTTTAAAAATCTTCTTTCCAGGACCACTGGGCCAGGAAAGATGAAACTCATGTGGAATCACTGAGGTAGTGTAGATTCAAGTTTGTTCAAATCATGACCCCCGGGGCAAGGGTGGGGCCAAAATGGCCGACCCAAGTTTTACATAGGAATATATAGGAAAAATCAAAATCTTCTTCTCCAGAACCACTGGGCCAGGAAAGATGAAACTCATGTGGAATCATGTTCAGGTAGTGTAGATTCAAGTTTGTTCAAATCATGACCCCCGGGGCAAGGGTGGGGCCAAAATGGCTGATCCAAGTTTTACATAGGAATATATAGGAAAAAACTTTAAAAACTTTTCAACTTAGATATTTGGCCATACCATAGGAATATATTGAATATAGAAAGATGAACATTTTGTCAGCGCAGTTTTACATAGGAATATATAGGAAAAATCTTTAAAAATCTTCATAAACCGCTGCACAGAATTTCAAGTTTGTCAACCCCCAGGGCTTTGCCAACCCAAGTTTTACATAGGAATATATAGGAAAAATCTTTAGAAATCTTCTTCTCCAGAACCACACTCATGTGGAATCATCCTAGGAGTGTGCATATTCAAATCATGACCCCCGGGGCAAGGGTGGGGCCAAAATGGCCAACCCAAGTTTTACATAGGAATATATAGGAAAAATCTTTAAAAATCTTCTTCTCCAGAACCACTGGGCTAGGAAAGATGAAACTCATGTGGAATCATCCTCAGGTAGTGTAGATTCAAGTTTGTTCAAATCATTTCCAAGTTTTACATAGGGATATATAGGGAAACCTTTTAAAATCTACTTTTCAAGTACTTCAAAGCTATGATTAGTGATATTTATATGGAATCATCCTCAGGTAGTGTAGATTCTAGTTTGGAGCGCCTGGAGTAAGTGAGCGATGTGCTCACTGTGGCCCCTTGGCCTCTTGTTCTTTCATTTTCTCATTTTACAGTCGGCTTCAGATAAAAAAAAAAAAAAAATCTTTTTTACAATTTATTTAAGTTTGTCAAAGTTTTTTGAAAGAAAATCATTGTACATATCTCACAAATCCAGAGATTATTTACAAGGCAACATTTTAGAATGATTTAGAATATCTGGTCCTAGTTTTGAATTTGACTTTTATTTTGTAGACAATCTCTCTGCCTGTAGTTGTGACCGTTCATGGAAACCAAGAGTGCAATGCTGTAGCCACAGTTTTATGGGATAACCAGTTTAGTGAATCAGTAGGTATTGCTTTCATTATAAAGTAAAACAGCTTAGTTTAAACTGGATTGGGGAAATAATTCCCTTGATACCTGGGTAGTTTTTTCATGTTCTAATAAAATGAATGAATTTATCCATGGGATGTGTGACAATTTTTTAAGTTCATGAGGATATATGTACATATTCTCTGTTTCTTCCTTTATGGTTCTGCACTCACTCTAATAGCTATAATAGCAGGTAATTTCTCACATTCAGACAGAATAAGCTTCTATCATATATTTTTTATATTAAATTTCATCAGGGAATGTTATGCATGTAATTCTTTAGCATTCTTCTGGAACTAACTTCCAAAGATTGTTAGAAGTTTTCTTCAGGACCCACTTGATTTATTTCTGTAGGGGAGGATGCCCTTCACGGTCCCGGACCAGGTGCCCTGGCCAGATCTAGTCAAGTTACTGGACACCAAGTTCAAATCCATGGCCGAGAGAGGACTCACTGTAGAAAACAAACAGTACCTGGCCACCAAGCTGTTTGGTGAGTGGACTGTATAGACACTACAGTATAAGATAGAAATGACTGTTACTGTAATGGATATACCTGTATATTGGAACTACTTGTAATAATTAAACATTATTGTTAATTAAGGTGGGTCAATTGATGACAACTTCTCTCAGAAGATGGTCACTTGGAGTGCATTTAACAGAGTAAGTTCTATAAAATTATACTTTGGTCAGAAAATTTCATGAAAATGCTTTCAATGAATGTAAGTATATTTGTGTAAATTTTCTTTTTGAAATAATAAAACTTTTAATTTTCATTTAATTTAATCTGTGAGAAATTTATTTTCGAAGTTCAAAGGTTGCATGTTTTTTTTCTCAAAAGTGGAAATCTTAGTCTAAAGTCATTAAACAGCTTTTATTTTTTGAGCAGGATGGGTTGTTTAAACTAATTTTACCTAATTAATGAGCATACGGTTTACAAATGTAGAAAGATAATAATCTCTTTGAGAAGGGTAATGAAACCAGATTTGATCCCAGGATAAATGGGGGGGGGGGGGATGAGGTGGTCATGTGAGAGATTACCCAGATGTGTGGGGGTGCACTTCTCTCTGGATATACTCAAGTTTCCTCTCGTATGAACTGCTCCATCCAATGTCTGTTCTGTAAGGAAGGCTTATTATCAGTAATCAACTTGGGGGGTGTTTTGTAGGACCCACTGCAGTCCAGGAATTACACCTTCTGGGAGTGGTTCTATCAGGCCATGAAGCTCACCAAGGAACACATGAGGGGTCCCTGGAAGGAGGGGTAAGGAGGATTCTTACTTTAAATGGTTTTCATCATCTGGCTGATTTAGAATTTCATGATAATTTTGTATACATTGTACAGTTGTATTTACAAATTTTTGACAAATGAGAGATGTCTTTGATCAAATGAGGGATTTTCCATTTCAGTAAATTTTAGGGGAAAATTCTACTAACTTGATAAAAATGCCTTGTACTTTTGTATAGATATATTAATGGATTCATCAGCAAACTGGATTCTCAGCGACTTCTGGAGAAATGTAACGTGGGAACTTTTCTCCTACGATTCAGCGACAACTTCATTGGTGGAATCACCATTGCTTGGCTAGCTGAGAAAAACGGTGAGATATATACTATGATCTATTAAATCACTGATATTTGTGGGGTCAAATTTTTAAGGTGGAAAAATATTGGTTTGTGGGAATTTGATTTACTGGTTGGAAAATGTTTAGCAGTAATGCAAATGAAATGTTACATTTCATGGTGGTCAAATATTTGTGGGTCTCTCCTTACCTCGAAAACAACAAAAAATGAAACCCCCCACGAAAATTAGTGAATTCACAGTAGATCCCATTTGTTTGAGCTATTTGTCATCTTTCTCATAAATTTTGAGGTTTAACTCTATAGGACATTGTTCCTAATCTTGTGGTATAGCCCTGAAAACATATTTTTTTGTTATTTTTACGACATTTCTTTTTTATTAAAAGCAGGTAAAAAACAAATCTGGAACTTGCAGCCATTCAGCGGTAAGGATTTCCAAATCCGGGGATTAGCCGAGAGAATTAATGACCTGCCACAGCTGTTGACATTGTATCCAGATATCCCCAAACAGGTGGCATTTAGCCGATTCATGACACAAACAAGTAAGTGTACAGACAGACAGACATGTGTCTGTATTCTACTGTTCAGTAGAGAGTCTGTGACAAGTTAAACTTTACTTAAAAATCTTGTGTAAAACGATATGAATTTTAAGTCCCTTGAAGTAAACTCAGTAGTTTTAAATGTTGTCTGATGATTAATGTTGTTTAAACTGGCTGATATCTTTGGAAGCAGTGGTGTCCGGATTTGACAAGGATTATTTACTTTACTACAAAATCCTGTTAATTGATATGACCTGTAATGATGTGTTCTTGGTCCAAAAAATAATATATGCTGAACAGTTATCCTGACTACTATAGTATTTATTATATACCTAATGTGTATCACTCAATTTTACTGTTGAATTTACGCAATCACGTGACGTTTCCGAATCACCACACTGTGGTTTTCTGAATCCATATCACCACTCTCTGAAACTGATGACGTAGTGTGCAGAAACATGACGTTATTTTTCTTGCACATTAAAAAGTCCCTTGTTATTATGCTTCCTTTTATGGATAAATATCATACAATTGATCTCTAAAGTTTAATTTTGCTATATTTTGCTAGTTATAAGGGGGTATATAATAAATTTATTATTATAACAGTAACGTGATCCGAAGGGCCGTATCATGTCTGGTTACACGCGGATCATACAGATCAAACTCGACGCTTCGCGTCTCGTTGGATCTGAAATCCGCGCCAAGGTTTGTCAACTAAAGTGATACGACCCTTCGGATCAAGTTACTGTTATAATGATATATATATTTGCTTTTTGTAGCACACCATCCTGGTATTGGTACTGATGGTTATATCCCACATAACCTGAGAATGGTGCCTGACACAACAGAGTAAGTGAAATTTACTGAAGGCTCGTTTGAAGTGTCGATGGGTAGTATAGAAGTAAATGTGGTATGACAGGGAAAGGAGGATATGGATTTTATGTTTTAAGTTATAGTTACTGATACACAAGAACTGCTCTGTTGTCTAACTATATAAGAGTACAGGGTACATATCTAAGCCATAAGGTATGAAGTAAGGATACAGAAAAACTCACGTCAAAGTTTTACAGGGTTCTCGGCAAAATTGTTAACAATTCTTTATACAATTTTACAGTTATGATTTTGAGTCCCGTAGAGGTTAAATATGATAAAGTTAACATCTTTTATAACGAATGATCATTGATATGAAAATTTGACAGATTTGACAAATTGAATAAACTTTATCTTCATTAAGTATTTCTATATAAAATTCAGTTCATAATAAAACCTTAGTTATCCAAGGTATGTTTTGTAATAATTGCTTTTCTAACATAAAAATACTTGAAGGAAAATGTGCATATTACAAATTTGCTATTTACAGTTATATGAATTCATAATACCGAGTTGACAAATTATGGATATAGCAAATTAAATTCACATGTCCCCAGGACTTTGCTTTAACACAGTTTTACTGTATAATATTTCATTTCAAGAATTCTAAGAGTTGTTTTCTTAAATATTGTCCTAAAACAAAAGTGTTGGACGTTTACAGAACAACAGCTAATCAAACATTGACAGTCAGCTCCAAATCAACCTCCAGGGGGGAAGTCTTACTCTAGAGCATGTCTCCCGAGGGGAAGTCTGACGCTTCAATGATGTTATTGTTTTATGGCCATTTTTCTGTTGCAGTATGAATGGATTTTCCATGTCCCCAGAGAACCCCCTGACCCCCCAGCCCCAAGATGACACAGACTCCATAGCCTCATGCCTGTCTCCACAGAACAATGTCTGCAGCACCACGGCTGATGGGTAAGACTGGGCAAAGTTCATCAAAAATCAGTCTGGTTCACAGACCAGTCCCACTACAGATTATATAACTATCCACTGTATCTCTACACATCATAGTTCCCATGACATGTGTACCCTATATCTGTTTAGATCTGCATGTGTGATAATGATTGAAATCAATGCTTATTTTCTACATGACTTTCAGGACAACACTGATGGATCTGGACCAGTATGAGCTACAGGAGCTGCCCGGGTCAGGAATGGACTATAATGCAGACAATGTGTTTGAGTTGAATGATCAAGACTTTACTGATATCAACTTCACCAGGCTCCTGGAGTCGGCAGCCATTTTCTCAGCTCAGAATTACAACACCCCCAGTGTGAACGAGAATGGCATCAACGGCAATATGAGCACCATGAATGGTTCCCCCAACTGAGTGCACGGTCATGTCACCGGAATGTGTGACTTCTCCAAAGAAATATACAGCTAAGACATTGTACTGAGTGAATGGGGGCCCTGACGGAATACCCAGATAAAATGTATCATAAGAATGAGCCCCCCCCTTCCCCAACTCCCCTAAGTTGATAACATAACAGTGCTATGGAAGTGTTAAGTTTACATGGGTTATCCAATGAAATCACATATATGACAATATTATACAGCTTTTGTTGAAGCAATAAATCTATACTGCTTTTGTTTTCACATATCTCTTCATTATTAGAGTTTTAATATAAGAATGATATCATCGAGATGCATAGTTATGTGAATTACTGTGTATTAGATTTTATCAGTAATGTTAATATGTGCTGTACTTTAGTTTTTTTATGAAATAATCAACTGATAATTGATTGCAGTGTTTTATTGTTGATAATTTTTTTTTGTCACAGCCCAGTATAAAAAGCTATTCAAACAACAAGTTGTACATGCATGTAAGGTTTATTTAAAATTTGGACAATAGCACTCCTTTAAACTATTTATAATTGTAGCAGTTCAAAAGTACATACCGTATTTTGCATCACTGGTACGTTAAAGTGTGAACCTTTTTATAAGCCACTTTTTCTTGTGCACAGTAATGTTGAAAAATAATACTTTGAGCATCAATCAAAAATTGTTTGAACAAAAATTATTTAGAAACATTGATTAATAATGTGTTAATATCTGAGATGTTTTGTGTTTGAAACTTCATCAAAAAGTGCTTTGCTCTGATTGGAATCGCATAACTACATATGTTTTAAGTTTTATATGTGTCAGATTTTATATGAGGCTTCTATGAATATGCTTGTTACAATTGTTTTGGCTGTTAGGTATGTTTACTTCTGATTTTGTATAAATGTATTTTTGTACAGTTTATATATGCAGTGATAAAGGAAACTTTAGGCTATTTTGAGCATTTTATGATATCATAATAATGCAAAAAACAAAATTCCAAAGAGAACAATTCCTTACTTCACTGAGGTATCTTACCTGTCTGTAAGATTGCATCATTTATATATATAGACATTGATTAATTACCTTTACCTGAAGTTAATCATTTTAAACCTGTATATATATTGACAGTGATATTGTTTCTGCTTTCTTTCAAACACTGCTTGCCAGATATGCTGTTTTTATTAGCTAGTTTTGATGTTAACTGTCGCCAGCATATTGAACTGTTAAATTTATATTGTACCTATTGTATTTTCGTATTTGGAGCATTTAAGATATTTTCATTTGCTTAGCGTTGTGATGCTTACAAATATGAATTTCTTTATATACTATGAAAATTGATCGTTTTGGTAATTAACTATATTCCTTTGTAAATCTTTTTTTTGGCAGTGATGATAGGGCACGTTAATTCTTATCTTATGAAATAACATTGTGTATTTTTAATGTGTTTTGACATCACTTTTTCTTTATATTACTTCATGAAAATTGAATCTTTAATGATGTAATTTGGTTTTCAACCATAAATAAGTTCATTATCATTTTCTCTATCCAATACATTTAGCTTTTTTACCCCATTTTGAGCTACATGTATATACCAATAGCCATATTAATTTTTTTTAACAACAAATTACAATTTTGTATAATGTAAATTTTAAACAAAGTTTAATACACTGTAACACTCTATGATAAGTTAAAAAAAATCATTGATTATTAGCAAATGTTTTAAGAAAGTAGTATTTATTATTTAAGGATTAGTTTAATAGTTTTGTGAAGTTTTTGTATTAAGGTAATTGTACTTCTGGCATAGAGATTATTGACCTAAGTTTCCAGAAGAGTAATAGAATAGTAGTGCCCCTTATAGCACTCACTGGGGCAGAGCTTACAATTTTAGAAAAAAGAAGGTCAAGGAGACAGAGTTTATTTTTGCTGTTTTTTAAATGTTTAGGGTAGTTAGATTTGATACAAATATCTGTGCCATATATTTATGTACATAGTCTATTAAAATCACTGTATTCGTGCATTGGAAAATTAATTATGTTTTCATATACTGAAAAAGAATGCTTTAAAAAATCTCGCAAAAATTGTCCAATCTAAGTAAAATGTGTTTAGGAGAGCGATTTTTAAAGTTGTTTAACCATAATAAAGGTTCATATATCAAACTTACTAGTATTTATGATCATATACAATTTATGTCATTATGTATTGTTTTGATTATGTTATCAGCTTACCTGAACGAAAGGCTAAAGTGGGAGATTCTGTTTGGCTTGTCCCATGCCAGTCTCTATTTCTATCTGCAAACCTTTTTTCACATTTATCAAGGACATATAATTAAGAAATGGTAAATAAGAATATGGCGGGTCAACCATAAACCTTAAATGTTCAGAGTTCCTGTCTTGTATTTGATTAAACTACAAAGAAGCCATGACTCAGGTAAGTATTGTGGCCCTTAGGCCTTTAGGGAACTCCACTGAAACTTATTTAGCTTGTACATGTGCATATAAATTCATGTTAAATAACTTTGATAAATAGAAATAAAAGCTGCATCTGAAAAATTCTTATTATTGCCAGTGCTCTAACTATAAGGGTATGCTTTCAGTGACCATTTATGTCCAGAGTATTGATATAATGTAGTCTTGATCTAGATCTATCATTGCTTGTCGATTATTCCATTACATACCCAATTAAAAAGGTGGTGTGAAATATGAAGATAATAAACATACTCAAAAGTCAATTGAAGCAATATGATCAAGAGTGGCCAACTCAAAACTTTTTTTACATACCAGGATACGAGGATACGATATTTTTTCTTTTAATTCCTCTTGTCCCATCAACAAATATATTGAATTTTCTGGAAAAAAGATTTTCTTACCTACTTACCAGCCCAATAATTTTACCTTAAGTCAGGAAAGTACAGGTAAACATCATTTTAAAGATTGCTTAAAATGTCAATGTTGAATTGAAGACAACAGCAAAAGACTTTCTATTCATAGAAAAGATTTTGAATCAATTCTGCTTCATATGGAACACAAAAATAGGTCTGCTGAAATGGAGCGCATTTGGTACTCATGGGAATTCCAGATTGTCGAAGACGATCTACAAAAAACTACCAAGATAGATAAAACAGCGGTCAATGTAAAGAAAAATCTACAAATCTGAGAACAGAGCATAAAATATGGGCCCCTGGAAATTCCAAAGATAGGGTCAGGGTGCCTAGGATGAGTAAGAATCCCCAGTTGTCGGACATATTTGCCGTATGTATTGATAAAGCAGAAGGAGCATCCTGTAGTTAAATTTAGCATGAAAACAAAATCCTTACAGTTGGAATGAAAAATATCAACCAAAAGAGATCCAATGATAAGATTCTTGAAATCCCTGTAACATCAACCTATCTGTCAATATATTGTCAGGGTTTGAATTTTCTAATTAAGGATATTAGCTCTTTCTGAGAATCTATGTCAGATTTACACCGCTTCCTGATTACTAGACTGGGATAGTTTTGAAGGAAATAAAAGATACTTGGACTTGGTAGAGCTTTTGCTGAATCAGCCAACGAACGTATCTGTGTTCCTATATAGTTAGGGTAGATCGAACCTATATTGGTTGACTAGAATTTCAAATAGTATTACGCATTGAAAGACGATCTTTGAAAAATTTCACTCTAAAGTTATAGAAAGTAATCTTTGAATTTCAAGTAAGCGATGTTTCTAGAATAAATCTTTCTTCCATATTTAACATAATTACTAGTATTTTTATGTACATGTATTTTGAAGCATAATCTTCAAGACGCCGCGTACTTCGTTGGTGTCAAAAAGTCAAAATTTACCATAGCGGGGGCATTTGTGACGGTTTTAATAGTTGGGTCTAAAGAAAAACAAAATATTTATTCTCAAAGCAAATGAGTACTACTAATACTGCACTTTCAGGGGCGTAGCCAGGGTATTTTTAATGTGGACGCCTGAATAGGCGGGGGGGGGGGGGGCTTAAGGCCTCCAGTGGGTCCAGGGAGAAGCCCTGGTGGAGGCCAGTGGGTGAATTCAATGTGTTTATTTGACCCTTCTGATAGCATTTTTCTTTCAATTTTTCAGTTTGTTACGCAACCACATTTGAGGTCGGTTCTTTCCGTGTACAAAATGCGGACAAACACTCAAAAATGAAAAAGGATATTCCAATAGCGTTGTTTGAAAACCCACTAAAACAATTTAAGTCTTTTGAAGCTCGACAAAATACGTATGATGTTAAAAATACACCTCTAAAGATTGGAAATGTAACAAAGACAGAAGAATTCTTTTCAACTCATTTTCTTGCACAGTACCTATGTACATTGTATATATTTCAAAATGAGTGTTCATAAATATTCACAAATCGGGTATCTTTAACTTTCTGCAAAAAAAAAAAAACAAAACATGTAAAATATTCTATTGTTTTTTTTAGGTATTGTTACGGAAGTCAATACTTGAACAGGCCTTATTCTTATTTTTTTAAGGTTAAACTGAGTTTTTTTGATGTTCATATATGAAGCTGAATTATGATTTTTGTATTCTCGCATGAATCCGATATTAGGTTATTTTTTTTGGGGGGGGGGGGGGGGGGTTATCGTTACAGAAGTTAAGCATTACGGTTGGTAGTTAATTTCCAGTAATAGAAATTGAAATTTTTGGCATTAAATAAAATAATTGTCTGTTTTAAGGGAGCCGAATGGGATTTATTGTGTGAAATTTACAATAGAGAAAATCTTTAAGAATGAAAAAACTCATTCAATACTAAACCAAACTCCGGGAAAATCTTTTGATTTCAGTGAGGTTTATACTATCAAAGAGCTAAATCCACGAATGTGCTAAATCGGCCTAATGATTTTAGGAAAATTAAAGTGAGGAGAAGAAGAAAATTGTTGGTGGAAATAATATCCTTAGATTTTCAAACTTGAATAGTTTACGTCAAAATTTTAATTTGATGACGTCATATTTGTACAGAAAACGTCGAAACACGTGTACTTTCCCACTTTTTATCAAAATAAAGCATTTTTTCGTCTTTGGTTCAAATTTTTGCTGTGGCCACACCCTTTGAACAAAATAAAATTGTTACTATTAAAACGAAAATTAAAAAATGAACAAATAGAGCGTATTTTTATTTTGTTCGAAGGGTGTGGCCACATCGAAATTTATACTTTTCGTTCGTTTCAAATCTCTTAGCACCGACCTCCACAGTTAAAATAATGGGGTTTACCAACTTTAATTGAAAAGGAAAAAAGATTCTTTTTGCTTTTGTAAATGTTAATAAGTTTTTAAATGCAAATGTTCAATTTATAATAGGAAAATTCGTGTTATAGTACAAAAAATTACGAAGTCCCTAAAAGCACTACTGCATAAACATAGGCCTGCGTCGGAATCGGAGGGCTAGGGGGGGTGCTTAGCCCCCCTCCACTTTTTTTGCAAAAATAGACATTATACAGGCATTGAAAATTAGGATTTACCTTCCTTTTTTGTTTGTTTAGCCCCCCCCCCCTTTCCAATTAGCCCCAACGCCCATAATAAAGATGCAATAATGTCGACTTGTCGTGCCTCATTCCTAACCAAAGACTTTTTAGTAAAGCAGCTGCCACAGGTCTACGTTTAATTCACTTATCATTTCACTTTTCTAAAAAATTGGATACTCTTTCTTTCTTATCTTATTTCAAAAATTTTATTTTACATACAATGTTTACATATGTTTTATCTCCCGATCCCGTTTCCTCGTCTCCATGGTCACTATGTAATCAAGGGGAGATCACCCGAGAAACTTTATTTTCTCCTGCGTGACCGCGGTATTTTCAACATAAAAAGTTACATCGGATGCAACTTCCAGGATGTATATATAAACTGAAGATTATTGTTTTACCCGTCTAACAAATTAAAATACAAATTGTATTTGTTCTGAAGTTTGCATCGACTCACTGGCATAACAATTGTCATAAATAAATTTAAAAAAATGATTAAGTTGGGCTGCGTCAGATTACGTATACAAAGCCATAGGCCCATACCATCATGCATTTCAAATATTGTTGTTGGTATTTCAAGAAGACCGATTAATTTTAAAATATTTATTTGCAAAAATATTTTTCCGATCTGAGACTTTATAATATATATGTAGGCTTATGGTGACAGAACCTAGAAAATTCGAGTTGAAAAATCAAATATTGAAATAAACAATTTGAGAAAATATTTTTACTGATTTTGGATCGCGTGTAAGTTTTGCCTTTATTAGACTTATTAATACATTGTATAAACGGATAACTTACTACATTTACCGAGATAGTGACAGCTCTTTATGGTTGCAGGTAAGTCAGCATTGCCTTCATGCCACACGAAAAAAAAAGTCAAAGGGAGGTTACTTGCTTTCTCTTTTAGCTTTGAGTCACAGAGTCTCTCTGTAACCTGTTCAACTTCATACAGTAGTGCATATAGATTCATAAGGGAGGTATATAACCTGGACAAAAAAATGAGAAGCTAAGAGAGAGGAAGAGAGGGGGGGGGGTCTTCTAACGAAAACAAAAAACAAGGGTAGACTCTATTGGGGGTGTGTTCGGATCCTTATTGGTGTGTGACAAATGACAAAGCAGGTGTAATGTATACGCAAATAAAGAAACTACTAGTATTATGTATATATAGTAAAAAAAATTAATTAAATCGCACCTTTCATTTTTTGAAAATTCTGTATGATAAAATAACATTAAGAACGACTGTCATCATGTTTAGTGACTCGCGATTGGCCATTGCAATTCGTATATTTTAAAATGTATTATTATTATTAATGGATTTAACTGGTAATTTTACATGTCTATCATACTTTTTTTCTTGAAAGAATGTCTGTATAGAGTATAACCTCAAAGATAAAGCGTTTGTCTCTAATGCATTCAACATAGTATCCGGGGGCGGGGGGGGGGGGGGGGTATGGTATTGTAATATGTCGCTTGACATTAATGCTGGAGCTGTAATTGATGCAATAATATTTTTCTACACTTTGCATTTATTTTGTTATAATGCTGTCCGTCCTCACAATGTGCACCATAGTCAGCAGAAATCATAATGGTCATGATTCAAGTTATTATCGTAGAATGTGCATTATGAGGTGTTATTTAGTCATTGCCTTGATGAAATAATTCTTTATTGATAAAACATAAAAGTCATAAATTTATTTTTTAAATAGTTGTTATATACTTTGTCTTTATTGTGGTTATATATGATCGAGGTTTCAGTTTGTTTTTCATTTCTCTTCAGTCAGATATTCATTTAATAAATTTAGGATTTCATCAAAGTTTAGTTGTTGCATGAACTGCTCGATCCCCAAGAAAAAAAAAGTATTAAGTTTCTGGATATGAATTACAGTGCCAAACTATCTCATGTATTGTCCTTTTTTTAAAAGAAGTTATTTTTTTAAACTAGGTGAATTACAAGTCAAATGACATTTTTTTCACTACGCGTACATGTATTTTGATAGAACATCGGCATTGTCACATGAAAAAGATACATGATATCAGCCTCTGCATTTCATTTCTGGAATCCGCATAGCATTTCCAGCATTTTTTTAATTTCATTTCCGACATTTTCAAAATTTTATTTTGAGTATATATATAACATTTTTATCTTTAATTATTGGATTTTATTTCAATTACTAGTAAGTTATTAACATTAATTAATTGGTTTACGTGCCATATCCATTTATCCATCTTCGCTAGAGGATGGTGTTTATCTTGTTTTTAAACTTTTGAAATTCAAATACTTTGGAAATCTTGTGTTTTCGTTTGGACTCTTTCTTTTAAAAATCTAATTTTGCGACCGATTTGATGACTTGCAGCAACTTTGCTTAAAAAAGGTCTATAGTGTTGATTCTTTCTTAAATAGGCCACTCTGTGTGCGTAAGATTGCCGTCAAACGTCACAACTTTTTCATGTATTACATGTACATGTAAGAACTGTGTACATATCAAATGATCAGGAAATGCTATAAATTAAGGAAGTGTAGCAAATTCTTTATAGAACAATATAATAGATATGATAAATTAATTTAAAAAATATTCATTTTTCACAAAACATGTTTTTAGCTTTAAATTATTGTTTCGTTACGAAAGAACAATTGTCTATTCTCTGACAAAATCTCCATTTTTGTTTGCCGTAGGACCATATAATAACGCATTTATAAATATAAAAATCTGTTTCCATGGCTACTATACAGTGTAGTATACATTTTACTACAAAAAATCAGTTCTATTTAAATATGATAGATTGAAATTTTGTGTTGGTGTTAAGCTAAATCTGTCTCTTATTTTCATTAAAAGGCGTTACATGTATCCACGATTTTTCCAGTCAACCGTTATACACATGTATATAACAAATAGTTCACATTTCTTTGAAGTACAAATAAATAAAATAAAATAAAAACAGTCCATTTTTTTAAACTTCTTATAAAAATCATAGAAATATTTTTCTAAAATTTTTAAGAATAGCCTGTATTGGTGATTTTTATTTCATTAACGTAATGTGTTATTTTTATACACTCTCAGAACGTCAACGTTACGATGTTGAAGCATAACGTCAATGTAATGACGTGACAGCATTGATTAAGAAAACAATGCTAAATTGAAACGGCTATAAAAAGAAAACCAGAAAAGATATCCTTAAAAAATAAAATGTTTTACAACATACTAATCTTAGAGTATAATGTGAGAAAGTTTAATTTATTTTGATGACTAGGCGGATTTTTGCACTTCGTGAACTTAGCTCTTTTTCCTTAAAACTTATTGTGTTGATTTTGATTTATTTTTTTATCATTAATTCGAAATAGTGTCTTAGCATTTTTTTATTTTTAAAATTGTTTACTAATATTTTGCAAAAATGATGAGTAAGCTTTACAATATTCTCTCTCTCTCTCTCCATGTTTTTTTTTTTTTTTTTTTTGGAAGATGCTGTGGACGTTTGTGCGTACAAACGTACTCCTGGCTACCGCCTGACTTTTGAAATTAACAGAATGAATGTATTGTGTAATATGTGTGACATTTCAAAGTATGAGTATTTTACCCTATCTTTGGACTTTCAGTATGCGTGACTTTCTCGGCGCTACGTAGTGGAGAATACTAGTAGATTCTCATTGGTTACGAAATTGATAACATAGGAACTTAAAATTGTTGTTGATAACGATCAGACGACTTATGCCCCACCTCTGTGCCGTGAGAGAACTTTTAATTGGCTATTTACTACACCAGTTGACATTCGGCCGCATTTCTATCATATGTATATTTCAACAGTGAAGGGAAGCTGTGTAAATTTCAGAAGCTAATTAGGTAACGTCGAGAATGCCACGCCTTACTGAAAGTCCACACTAAGCGTGTAATAAATTTTGATGATGAATTAGGATCGCTTTATGAACTTTTATCGACTTTAAATCGACTCAAACTATCAACAAATTCAAAAAAAACTTATATTTTAAACATTTATTAATAAAGTAAAAATCATTTCCATGATATATAAAATTAACATTTTTAAGATGCAACTGCAATCAATTTTTAAAGTTCATAGGCGTCGGAACCGGGGGTGGGGGGACTAGGCACTTTTTTGCAAATATATACATAATATAAGCATTGAAAATTGGGATTTACCTTTTTTTGTTGGTTTAGCCCCCCCCCCCTTTCAATTTGCCTCCAACGCCTATGCAAGTTTGCTATCCCCTGAAATCGGCATATATTATGGAATCCGGATAGGGCCATGCAATTCACTATCGCATCATCGAAGTTAAGGTCGACATGCGATGATGCGATAATGCAGTGCGATGAAGCGATGTGCGATAATGATAAAGCTATGGTGCGATAGTGCGATGATGGTGCGACAATGCGATGACGATATGGTGCAATATAGCACGATGGAGCGATGGCACGTTGGTGCGCTGGTACACGATGAAGCGGTATTCACTATTGCTACATTGTGCCACCATTGTCGTGCCATCGTCATCGCGCTATCGCACCATCACTTCATCGTCATCGCACTATCGATTTGTCGTTATTGCATCATCGCATAACGCGCCATCGACACTTAAGTCGATGCTCGATGGTGCGATTTAGTGAACTGCATGGTCCTATCCGGATTCCATAATTTCTGAAAAAATGATTTACTACTTCTCTCCTATTTTTTTGGCGTCTGGAGGCTAATTGAACGAGAAAAAAATCAAACCTGAAAAAAAGATTAACAACCAAAAAAAAAAAAAAGAAATTAGTAAATTATCCAAACGCGAAAATCCTATTTCGGGGGGGGGGGGGGGGGGTGGTGTAGAATCAAACTTCTTTCAGTACTATTTTGTTTTTCGAACCACCACTTACCCTTCTTTGACTACACTGCAACATGTTCCTGTTGAAAGAGGGAGGGACTAAACCTATAGGCATCAGTGTTCAATGGCTATATCATCAGGCGCGTAGCCAGCATGGAAATGAAGTGTACGCAGAAAACGGTCGGGGGTCTGGGGGCCGCCTTGAGGCCCCCAGTGGGTCCAGGGCGAAGCCCCGGTGGGTCCCAGGGGGCGAAGCCCCCGGAAGCTCCTGGATTTTACGAAATGTTTCAGTCATTTTCTCGCAAAAGAAATCACGATAATATCACTTTTCTCGAGCAAACACTTAGCTAAGTTATACCTTCCATTGATACTTCGGGAAAAGAACGATAATTTATCAAATCAATTTACGCATATATTGGTATTGGAAAAAATTTTCCAAGTGTATCAAGATAAAACAGAGTGGCAATTTCAATATCGTTATCATTGGAGTTTAAATATTTCAAAATATAAACGGGGGTGTTGTTGTCTTTTGATTACCTTTATATTTGATAGCTGAAAGGATTCGAGAATGCTTCATTTATATAATTCTTTAAATTGGTAACATCAGTAAAAGAAGCTATATTATTATTTATTTTGTTCACCATAATTTAGATTGTTTAACAACATTCAACGACATTTATTCATTACCTCTACAGAAATTAAAAGTCTTTTATAGTCTTCTTAGACATTTGTAACTTTCAAAGTCAAAATCAAAGTCCCTTAGATCGCTTTCCTTCATCAAATATTTCTCCGGATAATCATGATTACGCGGATTAACAATTGAAAATTTTGGTTCAACAATATTTTTTTCCTCAAGAATGTTGAAAGATGTTTTTGGAATTGATTTTAAAAAGGACTAAATTTGAATGTGAAGACATGCTGAATAAAATTTGAATCGAAACAATAAGACGCAAAATAATTTGAAACACGGGTAGTGCCTCTTTTTCCCCGAATAATTTTCTCTATTTCATTTTTTCCTTCTTTTCTTTTATCCCTCTTTCTTTTTTTTTTGGAAAATGATGTGTACGCACTTGCGTACTTGCGTATAGGCAGCTACGCGCCTATTCATGTCTATCTTTGCAAAAAAGGGGCGAGGTTCCGACACCTATGTTTTCTGAAGTAGAAGTACTGAGACCCAAGAAAAGGGATTTTAGTATTTAATGCTAAATTCAAGCAAGATTAGAAGTTTATAATTCCCGCCTAATGTCAGTTATGCACGATCAAACATCTTTGACACGGTTATGGATTTAGAGTGATCTTGGTTGTTGTTTATCAGGGTAAGCTCAACTGAAAATAAACAAAAGTTGTAAGACTATTATTAATAGGATAAGAATATAATCAAGAAAAAAAATTCCTAAAATTTTGTGAAGTTTGCATTTTTTACTTTCTAATTCAAAGTTTCTTCATAATTTAGCTATTCAAAAATATTTTTTTCTACTTTCGTTTTAATTTAATATATACAAATAACATATAGTAATAATATTTACTTATAGCAACTGTTAGCTATATAAAATTCATGCCTTCACTCGACTCTTGCCTTTGGCTGTAGTCCTGACATGTTGCCCTTTTTTCTTCTCTTGGCCTGAATTTTTGTTTGACTGTAGAAGAGCAGAATTGCCCCCCCCCCCCCTTTTCCATTGAAGTCTCATTGAACTAAAAGTCTTATGAACAATGAAATGTATAATAAATTATCATGCTCAGTGATGCTTATTAACTTGATTGCTACCTCCAGGCGCGGATCCAGGAATTGAATATAGAGGGGGCGCCAAAAGTAGGCAAGGGGTCTGGGGGCCGCCTTGAGGCCCCCAGTGGGTCCAGGGTAATCCGAGATTCCTCTGACTCTAACCCCCGCTTTTATATTGTGACTTGTGCGGGGGAGTCACAATATAAAAGCGGGGGTTAGAGTCAGAGGAATCTCGGATTAGGTCCAGGGCAAAGCCCTGGTGGGGGCCCCCGGAAGCTCCTGGATTCTAGAGATTTTGTAGGGTAAAAATGAGGTCTACCAAGTATACATATTTACATTTTCTAGACAAAACTGTGATTTACGTTAATTTTGAAAATTTTAGGGGTTCGCGAGAGCCTCGTCATCGGAATAATTCTCTCCTTTGAAAAAGTCTCTGTGTCTATATATTAACAACAGATTTAAAAAAAAAAAAAGGGCTTGGTCGCGAAAATTAATTGTCGCGAACTATAGCTTACCCCCGGGAAATCGCGAAATAAAGTCGTAGCGAAAAAAGTTGGTTTACAGTACTGTAGGATCTTTTACTTGAGGGTGAAAACTGATTTAAGTAGTTGACAACGCTTTTTCAGAACAAAATGGCTGTGGCCACACCAGAGACCAAGCTGGTGGTAGCAGCCATAGACTTTGGCACTACTTTTTCTGGGTATGCTTTTGCCATGAGGGATGACTTGGATAAGGACCCACCCAAAACGTTTGCCCCTCACTGGAACGCCCCTGATGGCGGCCTCATTTCATTTAAGACCCCGACCACCGTATTGCTGGACAATAGTGGGAACTTGGTGGAATTTGGTTTCGATGCAGAGGCTAGATATGTAGAACTGGCGGAAGAAGAAGAACACGAAGAATATTTCTACTTCCGCAGATTTAAAATGCTGCTCTATGATAAAGTCAGAAAAAATGTAAGTAACCATATGATACGGTCCAGAAATAAATATATATTGCATATAACAAAAAAAAGTATCATATGGTGCGAACTAGAAATGAAACAAAATAACAAATAAAAAATTTATTCCTAAATGTAATTCCCTTGGAACTATAGGCGTTTGGTTACAGGATCATGGATGGTGTATTTTGTGTATTATGTGTTTTTCTATGTGTGCCTGAATACCCTCATTGAAATAAAAATAAAAATTCGCCGAAATTAGCACGTTTTAAAAAATGTCATATTTACTGTATATAAAAAGAGTTCTTTTTATATACAGTAAATATGACATTTTTTAAAACGTGCTAATTTCGGCGAATTTTTATTTTTATTTTAATGAGGGTATTCAGGCACACATAGAAAAACACATAATACACAAAATACACCATCCTGTAACCAAGCGCCTATGCTTGGAACAGCTAGAATGACTGTGAAACTAAATTCTAAAATGTTCCAACTTGTGATCGTTTTGTCAACCTTTATTGTCCCCCGCTTTCGTGAAAGTGAGGGGACATTAAATCTCATTCATCTGTCTGTCTGTCCGTCTGTCTAGCTGTCCGTCCGTCACAAAAACGTTAACCTTGCCCATAACTTTTGATGAAGTCGAGCTATGACTTTCATATTTCATATGTGTATTCCTTGTGACAAGACCTTTCTTTGGGTACCACCAAATTTGACCTTTGACCTTGGAGTTTGACCCACTTTTCCACAAAAATTCCAAACTTTTACTTTAGTCATAACTTTTGAACAGTAGATACTAGGACTGTCATATTTCACATATGTATTTTTTTTTGGCAAGACCTTTCATTTGATACCAACAACTCTGACCTTTTGACCTTGACCTTGGAGATTTCCGTACTTATAAAAAAAACTTTCACCTTGGCCATAACTTTTGAATGGTAAGAACTCAGGCTTTCATACTTCACATATGTAATCCTTGTGAGAAGACCTTACATTGGATACCAAGAACTTTGACCCATTGACCTTGACCATTTGATTTAACCTACATGTATTTGAAAAAAAAAAACAAATCTTGACCTTAACTTTTTTTTGAAGGGTTAGGGCTAAGGCTTTCATATTTCACATATTTAATTCCTGTGACAGGACCTTTCATTGGATATCAAGAATGACCTTGACCTTGGAGTTTGACCTACTTTTAAAAATTTATCCTTGGCCATAACTTTTGAACAGATGGTGCTAGGGATTTCATATTTCACAATTGAATTTCTTGTGAGAAAACCCTACTTTGGGTAATAATATATTTAATTTGCATTTAAGAAAAGTGTTATCTTTGCTATGTTGCCATACGGGGTCATCAATGTTTCACAAACACATCTTGTTCCTTATATTGAGAAGAGTTAGGGTTTTCATATTTGACATGTGCATTACCTGTGACAAGATATTTCCGAGCATGCTATGATTTCTGACCCCTTGACCGTCACGATTGATTTTATTAAAAAATCAACTTCAGTGATATTTTCTAAATGACATATGATAGGGCATTCATATTTGACATATTATGTCATAAAAAATGACATTTCACCCACAAAAACACTGAAAGCGGGTGACCACAATTATTCTTTGAATTTGCTTGTTATAGTTTTAATACTAAGCACTGTCCTTAACTAAACAGGGTATGAATCCAAAAGTAATATATTTTTTTCGGAATTTTTTTTTCAGAAATTGACCCTAGATACCAAGGTGCCCGACATTAGAGGCCGGGAACTCCCTGCTGTGAAGGTGTTCTCTCATGCTATAAAATTTTTAAAAGATCACTTGATAGATTCACTGGAAAACAGAGGGAAGATAGTAAAGAAGGAGGACATAGCATGGGTTCTAACCGTTCCTGCAATCTGGGATGATCCTGCAAAATTTTTCATGCGAAAGGCAGCACAAGAGGTACACTGAGGAGTATCTAATCCTAAGTACTCAAAAGTAACAGTAAATCAATTTATTCGCAATTTTTTGATTCTTTTAAATCTGATTACTTTTGGAGAGCCCCCCCTCCCCCCGGGAAAAAGGGGGAAAGGGAAAGGGCTATATAATTGTAGCTGCAGAACTGTAGTGTTATGGTTTTATAAATACGGTATTAGTCATTGACCATAATGGTCAACGACTAAATATATACGCTACATGTAGTTCTGCAGCTAATATTATTGCATTGAACAATAACATCTGTCAACTTTTTCTCGCTTAAAATTACTGAATTACTACTAGTTCTATACTTCCTCAACATAAGGCGTCGCAAAAATTTGGTACACGTACTTTTTACCAAAGCATTTATTGATAACATCTTAACTATTAATGAGACCTTTGCCCCAAACAGGCAGGTATTCCTAGCCATCAGTTGATGATAGCATTAGAACCAGAGGCAGCCTCCATTTACTGTAAGCATCTCCCGGTGGAGAAGTTTGAAGGCACGAACCACATCAGTGTATTTCAACCCGGCAGCAAATATCTGGTTCTGGATGCTGGAGGTTATACATTATTTCGTCACAATCTTAGTGCTGGAAATGCATGTAAATACTTTACAACTGTATAAATGCTAATTCGCACGATGTTCCCTTCTATATGCAGGTGGAACAGTGGATATAACAGTTCATGAAGTAAAAAGCAACGGGAACCTGAGAGAGCTTGATCGAGCCAGTGGAGGGGACTGGGGAGGGACCAGCGTGGATCTGGCCTTCAAGAACTCCCTGATGGAGATAGTAACGGAGGGAATGATGGAGGGATACTGTCACAAGTTCACCGGGGACTACATAGCGATGTTCAGGGATTTCGAGATAAAAAAACGCAAACGCGCAAGTGGAAACGACTCCAACTCCAAAATAACTTTAAAAATTCCAGCAACGTTTATAGAAGAATGCTCTGAAACTCTGGGTA